CTGTGCGCGAGAGTAAATCTCAGCGCCAGTCCTTCGAGTATTACCACGTTGACTTCATCCACTGCCGCTTGACACAGGAGAGGCCGTGCCGCCCTCTTACGCATCGCTGTTAAAAAAAGCAAAAACGATTGTTTCGTTTCCCCCTAAATTTATTTTAAATGATAGGCTATCTTTCATGACTTTCAATGTTCGTGGTTTCAAAGATCTTGTAAAACAGCAGGAGATAATGAACCTTGTGCGCTCGCTCGGGGTATACGTGCTTTTTCTGCAAGAGACCAACTTTCGAACGCGGCACGACATCATGACCTTCCGTACTAGATTTACGGTTGAAGCCTTCTTCGCAGACGCAGTCGCGTGGCACCGGTGCCGTGTTTCTCAATCCGAGGTTCAGGCGGGGTGCGCATTGCCTCTTCGATGCAGAAGGCCGTGTTATTGCGGTGGACATGTGGATAAACGACCAGAAAATCCGATTCACCAACTTTTACGCGCCCGTGGATAGGTCTCTTGCCAATGACTTTTTTAGAGGTGCCAGGTCATTCCTGCTAAATTCAGCACCAGTGCGTTTTGTTAGGTGATTTCAACTGTGTTTTTGATTCAATTCATCATCCGCTTATGTGACTGCTGCTCGATTCCGCAGACGTACGCTTATGCAAGTCTTTAAAATTTCAGCACTAACAAACTCTACAGAATATCGCCATTTGTTATATCCCTGGCGAAGAGACTTTTGCCGCACTCGAAAACAAGAAGTAGCTATCACAAGGCTGCGTTGCCGGGTACCAAATATAAATTTCTATAAACACAGGTCTGCTCAGGCACCTTCGCCAATGTGTGCATTCTGTGATGAACTGGAAACAATAGACCATTTCTTTTTGACCTGCAGGCGGTTTAACACATTACGAAAAACCCTATTAGAAATACCTTTACGTGGTATTGGTATGGACTTATCTCTGCCTGTCATTTTGTCTTTTGGAGCTTCCATTTCTGGTTTCTCTAATGTGACAGTATGCGCGGCCGTCTGGGAGTATATATTGATGAAACTAATAGGTTGACTAATTAACCAGTTTCATTATCCTAACATGTCCACATAATTATATACGTATAAAATCAGATTATTGCTCTATTCTAAGAATAAATTCGTTATGTAAATATTTGTATGCATTACATTAAGCACCACACTTTTCTAGGCTATCGGTAATCTTTCTGTTAAACCTCCGTCATTCCAAATCTGAACAGTAAATTTTAAAACCACTCGATTCTTGGCCAATCCCCTACAGTGGGTATGCGCCACTAACAATAGAACAACAACAACAACAACAACAACAATTCGAGATGTCCGAGGCCCTAGTCAAGGACAAAGCACATACCATTCGAAAGAGTTGCAGAAAATATGGAGAGAGTTGAAGCTGGTCGATGCATAGACAACGCTTCACGGGAACACCTTTGGAGCCACGCGCGTTCAGGGTACGTCTCAGAGCAGGATTGGCAGAGTCTATATCCCTAACGAGCTCATTGCAAGTTTTAGAGACATGCGATGTCATTTCTTTAGCACCTGGGCAACGCAAGCTCAGCGACCACATGCCAGTGCTGTTCACCTTGAAGGCCCAGCTCGGAAGGCATTGCTCCAAGTTTTGGCGAATGGATTCATCAATTTTAAATGATGAAGTTTCGGTATCTCAAATGCGCATGAATATCTATGCGTCTTTGGAAGACACGCCGCAAATTACGCCGACAGCATGGGATCTCTTGAAGGCCAGATGGCGTGTGATTGGGCAGGAGGCCGGGAAAATGCCCCATGCACGTCTAACATCACAAATGAATAAAACATTGAGGCATATTCAAATCGTTGAGCGCGCAAATAATTAGACCGGCGCAATTCGAGTACATTGGGGCCAAAAAGGCTAAATACGACCTCTTGTTGAGGGCAAGGTCCGGGGCTTTTAAACGCGCAAAGGAACTGCACCTGCCTACGGATGAACTAGGTAACTTGGCATACGCACAGCGAGTAGGGGTAAGGAAACACCAGCCCAGTATTATCGGTGCAGCACGGCCAGAGTGTGGGAACATCGTCACAGATATGAAATCAATCGAAGTCTTTAGGGCGCATTTTGAAAGGCTCTGCTCTGCTGATCGTCGCTCCAAAGACAGCAACCGGCATCAAAGAATCGCAAACTTTTGCGAAGGCTTGCCCACGCTGTGTCCTGAGACTTTCGATATGCTCTGCACTGAGGCGACGAGAGATGAAGTTTGGCAAGCCTTGAAGAAAATGAACACTACCACGGCTCCAGGTCGAGACGGAATACTGACGGGGTTTTATAAAACTTTCTTTGACGTCCTAGGCGACGCACTTACTTACATGGTTAACGGGTTCATTGTTGATGGGCAAAAGCCGAGGTCTTTCAGTGAGAGCCGTGTAGTCATGCTGCCAAAGGAGGGCATGGATCCTGACGATCCACGGTCATGGAGGCTGATTACCCTCCTTAACACGGACTACAAACTTGTAGCTACGATCCTTGGCTTGAGGCTAAAACCTTTTCTGCCCAATATAGTGTCACCCATGCAAACGTGTGCAGTGCCGGGTAAGTCCATTTTTCAAACCCTTACTCTGATAAGAGATTTGTTTTACTATGCCAACACCAAAAACGTTACCCGTGCTTTCGTGTCAATGGATCAAGCTAAGGCCTTTGACAAGGTCGAACATGATTACCTATACTAGGTACTTAGAATGTTTGGTTTGCCTGAGCAGTACGTTCGCTGTATAAAGCTTCTATACACCAACATGAGCAGCCGACTTCTCATCAACGGCGTGGAGACAGCAACCTTTCCAGTAACAAGAGGTGTTCGCCAGGGATGCCCAATCGCACCGGTGCTTTTTGTTCTTTCTATAGATCCTCTCCTTAGGAAAGTGGCAAAGTGCCCTAATATTCAGGGCTTTCCAATGACAGGTCTGGAGTCAGCATCACCGCTTATGCGGATGACATCTCTGTGTTCGTGCGAAACCAAGCCAGTTACCGCGTTTTCTTGGAACTGTTCGAAGAGTATGCCCGTTTCTCGGGTGCTTTCTTGAATGCGAAGAAAAGCAAAGCCCTTCGTTTCGGTAGCTTCCACGGCTCTTTGCCGGGTGGTATTCAATACGTGGATGCCGTAAAGGTCCTCGGGGTATACCCTACTTTCAAGACGGGGAGATGGCCAAAAGAAATTGGGAGAACGCCGTACATCGAGTCACGCAGGTCTTCGCGTATGCCACTGACTTCAATTTGTCACTTGACGCCAAAGTGACGGTGGTGAAAACCAAAGCGTACACATATGCTTTTTATATCGGGCACATTGCACTCATACCCAAACATTTTGTGAGCCGCCTTGCGTCATTGGTTGGAGCCTTCCTATGGGACGGGAAGACACCAAAAGTGCAACAAAAGTTGCCTAAAGCTCCCAAAAAGTTGTGGAGGACACAGTCTTCCAGATGTTGCGACATTCACAAAGGCACTTGCAGCTAAAGCAGTTCACAAATTGTTTCAGGACAATGACTATCCTGACCGTAGCTTATTGCTATATTTTACCGGAACTTTTGAGCCGCATTCACGTCGGAAGGGTACCGGGGACCTCAAGCAGAACACCCACATGCCTTTTATAAGGCAGCAGAGGGCCTCAAGCGTTCAGTTGACGGCGACGCCACTGAAGAATACTTTGCAAAGCTCGCACCGCTCGCAGCTTGGTACAGTGATGGAAGTGGCTTTTTACTTTTTGGGGCATACTTTGAAGCACGAAAAGTACTGCTTCGGAGCAGCCATAAATGTTTTCAGAGTAGAAAACAATGCTAGTTTAGAGTAGCTATTGGTGTTTTAGGAGCAGATAGAAATTTTCCATACATTAAATAGAATTCAAAGCATTGTCGAAGCATCTCGTAAATGTTATTATTTATTATGAAACTTATTTTACAAACAGTGTAAATTTCAAAAAGCAGTTTGGCTGCTTGTCAAAAACGTGCTGTGATAATAGCTATATACATAAAATATTAGTATTTGTGACAGAAATAAAATCATATGGTAAAGTTGAGCGCCACAATTTGGAAGTAACCACAGTCCCATATAACTGTTGCCAAATAAGCCATAGATAATCGGTATGAGATAAAAGCAATCCTACTCATTTTCACATTTCATCCCACAAACCTGTGTGTCTAGCTAAAAAAAAAGCCGAATGAGTTATATATGGCCAATATGATAGTTCTCTTTGCATAAATGCGACCAGAGCCGATCATGCTGATGCTGCACACTAAAGCTGCACACTGGGGACTATAATACACCGTCTTTTCAGTTTATTTAGGACTTCATACGAGTCGGTGAAACAGCAAAAGTTTGTCATTCTCATTCCCTCAGTGCCCTTTCAGAGCAAGTTTGGAGCAATTACTATGAAAAATTACTGTTTGGAGCAAAATTTCTCTTTTGAAGCAGTTGGAAACAATCGGACCACCACTTCCATCACTGTTAGTATTTAAATATCTCGCCCCCTCAAAGGGCAATGCACTTCACATTTGCTAATCATAAAATATGTAGGCACTGATTTGATTGATATGTGGGGTTCAACGTTCCAAAACCACCATATGATTATGAGAGACGCCGTAGTGGAGGGCTCCGGAAATTTCTACCACCTGGGGTTTTTTAACGTGCACCCAAATCTGAGCACACGGGAATATGTAGGCACTAGTAGGCACCGTTGAAATTCGTGATGTCACAGCAATTGGTGCGAGAACTTTTATGTAGCATCACCACCTGCAATTTTTCTCGTTTATAAAGTGTCTTTTTCCAGTAAGTGAGGCTATTTTGCTATTGTGAAAGAGTATGAGGAAAATCATTTATCTTTTTAGTGTCCCTTTAAAGCTACTTTGACAATGAAAACATACACGGCAATTATATATATATATATATATCTCGTTCATCATGTGTACATACAGCATAGGGTGAATGAGTTTGTGCAATGAAAAGCCATGCAGACATGTATGTACAAAGAGTGTTGGCATGGGAAACATTTATTAACAATCTCTGCTTTTATGTAACAAAAAACAAGCAACTCTGTCATCGGCAATATAAACAAGAGTGCAAATAAAAAATGGCGCAGCTTTCACTTCCACTCAGTTGCACGCTAGTACAGGTTCTTCTTCAAATGAGCAATTTCATTATTCACTGTAAAAAACAAATAACCTTTGCATAAAATGTAATACAAAAGCCGAATTAAGCATCAGGGATCATATGCCAGCACAGTGTTGCTACATGACACAAGTGAAAGAATTCTAAGCATACAGCATCTCACACTGCATGGTACGGCGCCAGTGTTGTTTTATTCTAGTTTTGTGATAAAGGAACATCATGCTTTTCATGCTTCACCAATACGTGAACCCTCATGCAAAATTCTGTTGTGCTTAAAGAGCCCATAAACCACCTAGAGGTAGAAATTTGCTTGTGGTGTTGCAGTTTTGCAGGAGTCTACTGCAAATGCTGGCGGAGCTACGTGCGTTTTCTCGCCTGGCTCTCTTCTTTCGCTAGACTGCGTTCGTTGACTCGTCTATCCAGCTCTCCGAGCACCTTTCATCAGAATCTGAGGAGGACATGAAAGGAGCACGCAGATATGCTACCAAAAAACAGGTTTTCGTTCAGCTAGAAACAGCGTGCATTGCTCGCGATGTCACCTATAATGGTACAGGTGATGTTATGACTGTTGTTGATAAAAGAAGACATGAAGAGCAGCACGCCAAGCTTCTATTGGTGGTTTAGGGGCTCTTTAAAGCAATGAGCCTAAATTCATGCCTGAAGTGCTAGGAGAATTTATCATGCCAAACTGAAATCATGTCAAACTGAAGATGATAAATAAAAGAAACGTCAATACCTCGAAAAGCAGAGCAATATTAAACACGCGCACATTTGTATCTGGTGTTAAGCCATATGCTCTTCGACCGCTAAAAAATGTTGAATGTTCATGAATATCTCAGCCAGGCAATCTGGACTTTTTACACATCCACGGGGAGAAAAGAAGGAACTTTGCAAAAATGAAAAAAATTGCTTGAACAAGCAATTTGTCATTACAGAGTTTGAATCGAGTATGGAAATAAAGTGCGCACTCACTACTGTTTACAGTATTACAGCTAAAACAAAACTAACTGGACAAGCACATAAATTAAAAGATATTTTGAACAGCAATGAATTTGTGCGCTTTTTCTTTTGTTCCCCGATAAAAAATCAGCACAGGCCGCAATAAACATTCAGATGCAATAGCTACTTTCACTTCATTACCAGTACAAAATAAAAAACGAAAATGATTTCTCTTATTCAATTTAGCTTATACTGAAAGAAGAGACTAAAAAGCTAGCAGGCTGCTTTAGCATGGTTCGAAATTAACACCAATTGAAAATATTTCATTATGAAAAAAAAGCACCCTTGTCCCTTTGCACACTTCCAATCAATTACACATTATCATTCAGGTCATTCCTAGAGCCGTAGCCTCAAACATTAGCAAGTTCACTGTAAATACAAAGCATGCCACTCAACCACTAACCCTAAAGCTCAGAAATACGTTCTGTTAGTCATGCACCAAAATATAAATTGATAAAAATGAGATGAACATAGCCTAAACAGACAAGCAACCAGTGTCAGTAAACTTGTTAAACGTTTTGCCCACATCAACTACAGCAGGAACATCTTTATACCCATTCTTCCTGAGCTGTAGAAAAAAAGGACAAGAAAAATGCTGCGACATTTTTTTGCACAAAACTGTATCAAACAGTGTACATAATGCCAAAGCTGGCAGAATTTGTTACTCTTTGCATTTTTTTTTTACACACAGACCACTCTCATTTGTTTTGTTGTTGTTTTTCGTTCATAATTTTGGGGGGAGAAAAATAGGTTGAAGAGCGAGAGTGGAAGTGAGGGCAGCAGAATGATGGCAGTTTATCAGGCCTGGTGAGTGTTTGGGGCATTGTGGGTGCTCGTACTGTTCAGGTTAGGTGAGGCAAAGAGAGCAGTCTGCACTGTACCACCACCAATGGACTGGTTGCCTCCTTCCAAGTAAGTCTTCAGCTGCTGCATCGTCTCCACATCTACTTGGCCCATGAGCTCCTCAAAGTTGTGCTCGCCGAGCGACTCACGCAAGCTGCGCATCTGAGAGCACAGGTAGTCCCGAAGGGCCACTGTGTGTACTGGGTCCTGCCTGGACAGCTGGAGAAGAGCATCCCAGAAAACGAAAGGGCCATTAAAACATTTATGGCCTAAATTAAAGCATTTGAGGCCTTGGAAATTGTTACAACTGCTAACATAACGATACCCTCACAGTATAATGGAGAACAACGTATGAACTGCAAGTCATCGCACTTTATTTAGCCTCAAAATAGTTCACAAACTTGTCTTGCTTCTAGCGTGTCGTCAAGTTCCAGTCATCCTCAATATCACTAAAGCTTTTCAAGTAAGCGAATTCAGCTCCTTCGATCCCAACAACGTTGGTTGACATGGAACGGCGATGCAAGCTTTGAAGCGCGACAAAATGTTGGTTAGTGGCGGCAGCGAAGGCGGTGGCACATTTATTAGTACACTTCCGTGGCAACGCCAGCCATGATCTCAGCATCGATGCAGTCAGAAAGAGCTACGTCGTCAATTGCACCGACGAAGTCTCTCACTGTCCGAGATGATGCCTGGAAACGCTGCTAAGTTGAAGAATTCAATGAGGCACCACATGCCGTTGTCGGCTGTCATGACGCACCATAAGTCGTCACCTAGCCCACAAGAAAATTTTCCGACGGTGCTTTCCTTGACGTCCCCTCCAAGTGCCAGTCATGATTTTTATCGCTACACGCAGGTCAATGTCCAGTTTAACAACCGAATGAGGATTTATCAGGAACGAGGCGAGAAGTACATAACTCCACAAAGCGCAAAAGACAACGTCGAGTTCCCACCGTCGACATGGTGGCTATGGTATCGATGTCTCTAGTGGCTTTGTAGCTGGCAGCCACTGCTTCCAGCTGTTTAGATATGAAAAGCTATAAAAAATGTAGCCTCCCAAACATGCGTTTTAAAATTGAGAACACTAGAAAAATATGCCATGAGGTTGCACATCTCAAAGGCCACGTTTTTCGGGCTCGCATGCCATTGTGCGCTAACAAACAAGGAAAGGAATGCGAACATTGTAATAAGATCACCTGGTCACTTAGCATTCTCATTTTGGCAATCAGTCTTTGTGAAAAACACTATGCCAGTGCGTTAGGACCTGCACATCTCGCATCAAGCATACCGGTGCATTTGCAAGTGCAGCGCATCGAATCAGATCAGTTTTTTGTGTTGTAGAAATTTACTAATGCTAACTTTCAATTTATTACTATTAAAAAACACCTTCCTTGTTCTATAAATTTGAACTCTAATTAGAGAATCAATAATTTTATGCAGCAGCAGAAAATTGTTGATAGAGTATTCCGAAAATGCCCATTTCCCAGTGAACAGGAAAGCGTTAAGTGAAATTTAGTGATAACAAGGTCAATCATGCATAATGTTCTAATGACAGAGTTCGGCATCATCTAAAAATGTGTTACCTCTATTTTTCGGCGGTCGTGCTCACTTTCTTCTTCATTTGGTGGAATGGGTTCACTGTCCACGATAACTAGAGAACTGAGGAAAGAAAAAAAAAAGGCAAAATAAGAACATGACCCATCAGAAGCTCTAAGGTAAAAATACTGAGCTGATTGCTGGTCTGCATGATTATACTTAAAATTGCAAATCGATTAAGAAGGAATGAATAATAGTGGAAAATGGCTCTGAGTTTATTTGAAACACTTTTTACTTCTTAATATGCTTCAGAGAAATGCAGTTCTGCTGTTACTCTCTACTGAACAAAACTGTGCAACAACCGGACATGTTTAGAAAATGCGGCCCCTGTTCTTAATGTAGCTTTCTGTATTTAACACCAAAGAAACAATGAAAGACATAAAAAAAAAGGTGAATAACTATGTACACCATTTGTTCATATATATAAAGTACTGAACTTTTAGAACACATTATTGCTAACGAAATCACTAGGTTTCTTGATGATCGAGCTATTTTAACTCCTATGCAGCATGGATTTAGGAAGGGCCTCTCCACTGTAACCCAATTAACTACTGTAATTCACAGTCTCGCTAGCGTTGTCGACAAATCAGGACAAACTGACATCATATTTCTGGATTTTAGGAAGGCGTTTGATCTCGTGTCACACGCGAAACTAATCGAAAAACTTGTTCATCTGGACGTTCCCTCATACCTAGTAAATTGGATTTCTGCTTACCTCACTAACCGTAGGCAATTTGTTGCAATTGATAATTGCTGTTCGAGTGACCTTGCTGTTACTTCTGGAGTTCCCCAAGGAAGTGTTCTTGGACCTTTATTGTTTAATATATACATTAATGACATAGTTGACTCTATTACTGAACCTGTACAGATAAAATTATTCGCTGATGACTGCTTACTCTTTAATGAAATTACCTGCCAGCAAGACCAAATCACCCTAAACTCTAACCTTCAAAAAATTTTAACATGGTGCGAACGCTGGGACATGCAGCTTAATACTGATAAAACAGTATTTATGAAAATCACCAAAAAAATTAATAAACTTTCGTTTACGTATAATCTTGCATCCATGCCTCTTACAGAGGTTGATGAATATAAGTACCTGGGTGTCATCATAACTAATAATCTCAGTTGGAACTCCCACATCTCTCACCTTTGCGACTCAGCCTTCAAAAAACTCTGCTACCTCAGACACAAATTAAAACATGCTCCTCCCGAGACCCGTCTAACCGCTTATACCTCTCTTGTCCGTCCTAAGCTTGAATATGCAGCTATCGTATGGGATCCTTACACTAAAGCTAACATCGATGCGCTAGAAAGGATCCAACGTAAAGCAGTAAGATTCATCTTCTCCAAATATCGCACCAGTGACTCTCCAAGTGACCTAATGGCCCAACACAACATTCAGTCCTTGCAACTAAGAAGAAAAATTCACAGGCTTAAATTTCTATTCTTACTGTATAAAAATAAATTGTCTCTTTCTCCTGAACCTTACATAAAGCCTCTCACTGCTCGCCGAACAAGACATCGCCACTCTGCCACATTAACGCCTTACAATACCAGAACCAACATCTTTAAGTATTCCTTTTTTCCTCGAACAGTAGCCGACTGGAACAGCCTACCTCTTAGTACACTCAGCAACACCGACTCTATCGCATCCATTTCATCTTAGATCTAGCCCTTCCTCTTTCAATACAGTGATCCAGTATTTTACTAACTCCTTTGTACATTGATTAGATAGTTCTGTATGTTTATCTTCTCATATTGTATATTATTTTTCTTTGTATCACATTTCTTTTAGTGCTCATTTACTTGTTAGTAGATTCACTTTGTTGTTGCTTTGTATAGATCCTACTTGTATATATTCTTGATATTTGCAGACTTTGTACTTTTGTTCGTACTTTTCCCCTCCTGCCTGGGCCTATTAAGGCCTGCAGTATTCCTAAATAAATAAATAAATAAATAAATAAATAAAAAAAAAGAAAAATTCAATACAAATTGCTCGTGTCGTGTCTTTTTTTTTTTTTTTTCACTACTAAGTCGAACTCTGCCATCACAAAACAGTTATTGCGTGGTGCTATGACTTCATCTTGCAAACATTTCAGCAGTGGTGAATACAAATGCATACTCACTCCACTTGTGCTCCCAAATTGTCGGATTTCGTGACATCATTCAACACTTCCACAATGGCCAGAAGAATTCCACATATCCGTTCGTACACGGCACTGGACAAGCAAAGGCACAAGAAAAAGGTGCACCGTTAAGGGGGGACGTGGGTTCTAAATTTTTTTTTAATTTTTTGCTCAATCTTGACCAAACTTCACTACCTAAGCTTGTTTTTCCTGCCGATTTCAAATCTCTAATTTGCTTCTTAATATTTCAAGTGGTTTAGAAAATATAAAAGTCTGAATCTTAATTAATTGCATACTTCTTATGGGACATCTTGGCAATTTATTGTTGCTATATCCAAAAAGTGAATGCATAATCCCAATGCTGGAGACTTGCTGTTGGGGGTGATGCTATTTTATCCATTTGAAGGCATATTATAAGCAAGAAAACGGACGAACACTCATGGTCACTATATTACAATAAATTTCTCTCACTAAAATCTTCAATGGTAATTTTTGAAGTGATGCTAGAGACATAGAAATAGCATCACCCCCTAGATCATGTCAAGACGAATAAAATGATACCAACTTTGTCGCATTCACTCAAGTTTAACATAGGAAAAACCCCCGTAAGGCCGAGTGCAATGTGTAAAAACATCGAACTGAGAAAAACGCGTTTGAAGTTTCTAGCAACTTTAACTTTTGCTAAAGTGAAGCTACAGTGATATTATTGACATCATTCTGTAGCTCTATATTATAGGATAAATGGCCATGCTAAATTTCACTGTACCCACCCAGAATACTGCTCACAGCTTGTTCTAGAACTATAAAATAGTCATTGACTCAGCATGAGAATTATTATTTTTTTACTTTGTGGTCGTTCCAGTGCCTTGCAAGTGAAAGGAACACACAAAAAAATCATGTACAGTTAAACCTCGTTATAACGAGACGGGCTATAACGAAATAATGAATATAACGAGCAAATCCTAATTCCCCTTGAATGTCCCCATACAAACCAGTGTATTCAAAACCTCATTTTAACGAGGCGAAATTTGCCTGTTATGGGATATAACGAACAAATTTTGTTAGGAAGTAAAATTTTGAGCCGATGTCACGACAGTGCACAACGCGAAGTTGAGACGGCGCGCAACGCGAGAACGCGCGCTTCCGAATCTTACATACCCCCTTCCCCTTGAGTAACCAGTTCCTAGAGGGCAGCGCAAAAGAGCGCCCCTTCCTCTTCACAGTCACTCTCTCTGCAAGTGTTGTCGCTCGCCGATGTGAGCCGCGTTGCTTTTGCGTGCGTGTTTCTTCTCTTTTTCGACCGCTTCCGCCTTATCTTTTATCGTGCTGCGCTCGTGATTCCAGCAACATGAATGCGCCAGGCGGGAAGCGAAAGTGCATAACGCTAGATCAGAAGGTGGCTATGATAAGAGCCGTCGAATCGGGGACCAAGAAAGGCAACGTGGCAAGAGACTTTGGCATATCGACGAGCACACTGTCAACCATCTTGAGCAAGCAGGAGTCCATCATCGACGACGCTGTTGCACGTGGCGTGAAAGGAAGCGCTAAGAGGATGAGGGCATCTGCCTTTGAAGCGGTCGAAAGGGCCGATTTTAAATGGTTCTTGGACACGCGGGCCGTGAATCTGCCGGTGAGCGGCGCCTTGCTGCAAAGAAAAGCGAGAGACTTTGCCTGCATCATGGGCTATGACAACTTCGTAGCAAGTTCGGGTTGGCTCCAACGCTTCAAGGAGCGCCACGACATTGTCGGGAGAGCGGTCTGCGGCGAATCGCAATCTGTCGACGAAGCAGAGGCTACCAAGTGGACGAAAGAAAACATCGTGCGGCTGCTAGAAAAATACAGCGCGGAGGATATTTTTAACGCGGACGAAACCGCTCTCTTTTTCAAGATGTTGCCGCACAAGACGTTAGCCCTCAAAGGCGAGCCGTGCCATGGCGGCAAACAAAGTAAGCTGCGGATCACTGCACTACTTTGTGCAAACCGGCTATGAGAAGCTGCCAATTTTCGTAATTGGCAAAAGTGCATCCCCTCGCTGCTTTAAGGGGAAGAGGCAGCTCCCAGTCAAGTACGTAGCCAATCGCAAAGCCTGGATGACCAGGGAGATTTTTTCAAAATTGCTTTGCGAATGGGACGAGAAGCTGGCAAAGGTGAACTGCAAGCTGTGCCTTGTTTTAGATAACTGCACCGCCCACCATACCGCTGCCGTGCTTCAAAACATCGAGCTGCTGTTCCTTCCTGCCAACTGCACAGCAAAAATACAGCCGCTTGACCAAGGCGTGATTATGTCGCTGAAGGCAGGTTACCGCAAGCGTGTGATAGACAAGCTCCTGCTCAACACGAGGATGAAGCCAGACACCGATGTTGACTTGTACGCTGCGCTCGAAATGCTTCAGGCGGCGTGAATGAGTGTGACGGCGACCACGATCGCAAACTGCTTTCGACACGCCTCATTTGCCGCCGCACCCGATGCCAGCGATGAGCCATCAGACGAGGCCACTGTGCCGGACTGTTTTGCCGCAGCAGCAGACGAAGTCACTGCATCTTGGACGGCACTTCGTGACGCCGGTGTCGTGCCTGACAACGAGTCGTTTTGCGACTATCTGAGTGCGGACTCGGAAGTGGTGGCAACGGAGCAGCTCCTGGATGACGATATTGTGCGCGCTGTCAGTGATCGTAACGAAACCAGTGACAATGACTCTGTCGACGAACAGGAGACAAACGTGCCGACGGCGTCGAAGGCATTAGACGCGGTGGACGTACTGCGCCGCTACTTCGGCGCTCACGAGGGCGGCGAAGATGGCTTGAACATTGCGGCCGCAGCTGAGCAAGCCATCGTTCGCATCAGGAAGATGCATCGTTTAATTACGGACTTCTTTGCAGCTGTCTGCCTGAAATGCGAGCTGTGTATTTTGAAGTGCATTAAAACAACTGCATGACTTTTCCTTTTTATTTGGGAATGCGGTTATTTTGTTGCATACCACCGTGCGGCGGGATGCTATTTCGCCCGCTATTTTTTGGGGGTAAGTACAGTGCATAATATTTGCAGTAAATGCCCGCTACGGCTATAACGAAATATTGGTTATAACGAGCAAATAGCGGCGACCCTCCAATTTCGTTATAACGAGGTTTAACTGTAATAAGGTTGTCCTTGGATAGACAATAGATTTACACAATGTTTAGGTCTAAAACCAAGAATATTTATTTTTGCGAAAATTCTCACTATTTGCCATCATGACTGTTTACAGCAGACCAGGGCTGTAAGCAGAGTCCCCTGCTGGCTTGTGATGCTTTGAAAGTCTTTCCTTTATTGAACTGCTGTCGAGATTCTCTCTTCGCGATTTTTGCAGCCTGCCCTTGTCCTTCTCAAGGCTGCGATGCACCAAGTTATTGCCAGTGCTGTAGCCCAGCTTCTCGGCAATTTCCACGTTGCTCTTGGTTGTGCCTTGGTTGAAGCGGCTGATGGCTTCGGCAACTGCCCTTTCAATGCTCCGCAAGGATGCATGCTGAGTTTTGGGGGCCTGCTGCCAAATCATAGCGTGCAGGCTCTCACTTGGGTTCTGGGCGATCCCATTGCTGCTCTTTTCCAAGAGGGCATTGTCGCTCAGCCACCTAAACACAGGCTCCAATGCCTCAGTTACGAAATCAGGCAGGCTGTCCTTGTGTGGTGGCGGCTTCTCATTTTTCGCAAGAGCTCTCTGAAATTTGCACCAGGATTCAGGGCCTTCAGGGCAAAGGTCATGCTTTGGTGCCTCGTCAGTTGAAGACATGTGGTTCAGAGTTGCTAGAACAGCCTTCTGCATACCTGGAACATCGTTCCTGTGGCTGCTCAATGCGTAGCCATAGTATGAGCTGATCTTCTTTATCTTTTGTTGCGTATGTCTGCCCTTTCCACCAAGTGAGCCACCTTGAGCTTTTTTTTTTTCTACAAGGGTACGTGAGGCAGCTCCCATACGCTTGTGTACATGATTTATGCAGTCCTTTTTGGCCACCTTTATGAAGCCGTACACCTCTTTTTCTGTGAGTGCATGGAATGTCCTGCTGTTGCCGTCCGACAGCATTGTCATATAACGAAGCTTGTGCTTTTCAAGTGACCGCTCAAACAAGCATAGTGCTGCCTCCACTTCCATCTGGCCAGCATTACAATCAACATTCTTTTGGCACAGAGGGGCATGCTGAATGAGCCAGGCAGAATGTCCTGCTTCTCCTTCCTTGGGTCCTGTGGTGCAAGCCAGGCAAACGTTCGATAGCACGATATGGTCTATCACGAGTCCACTATACATCTCAACAATGCAGCCAACACATATATGCGAGCTATGTCCACGCATAAGCCAAGTGCCGTCATAAATGACGTCGACGTTTCCGGGCGCGTTGCCGAACGCGAGCAACGCTCGCCGCTTTGCATTCGGCAGCAGTCGCACAGCAGGCTTCTTTCATTATATTCATGTGGCTTTGGTAACTCTTGTGGTGAAGCCCTCGATGCGAAATATTCATCCCGGCGAAGAAGTCCGACAGAGCCGTTGCCCCCTTGCTGATACTGTTGATGGCCTTCATGGCACGCGTATTAACTTCAAATGGCCTTATTTTGGCGTCGGTCTCGTCGGCTATACGTAGGGACGAAAAATGCTCTTCGCGAAAGTCACAACTGCCGCATGTGACTATGAGCTTCAAACACAGCCCGTACTCTTTCTTGGCCTTTGAAATAGTGACGCTTCTTTTACCGCATTCTGGGCACGCGACAAGTCCAAATAACGAGCGTATCGCTGCCAGATCAACAATAACAAATTCTGTCCCGTTTTCTTTATCACCATCCTCCAGATCAATATCTAGTAACTCGAACTTACGTTCCGTCGCGCACTGCGATGCGAGTGATGCTTTCAAGCCCGCTGAATTTCTCGCGCACTCAGCAAACTCGTCCGCCGAATAAAACGCTGTGTCAATGCGGTCTAGGATGCTGCTGGAAGTGCAAGATGACGATCCGACGACGACACCATCCGATGAGGTGCTGCTGCAAGGCACAGGAGAGTGCACTGCTTCGGACACAAGCGGCCGCGGCTGCGCGCCGTCGTCGGAATGTGCCGCTTCGGCGGCATCGG